TGTGTTTTCTGCCCCTGTCACATCTTCATTCACTGTTCGCTTATGTTTTATAGTATCTCTATAGAAAAAGTACAATTACACTTACTAGTTAGTAGAGAAAACTAAAAAAAAAAAAGTTGTTTTTTTCATAAATCATTTAAAACAAAAACAAACCAACCAACAGAAAATAAAGTTAAATTTCTTTCTTTTCTTTCAAATATTGAAAAAATCCCAGGATCAACACGAACAACATTTACCAAATATCTATGGGTGTTATGAATACTGTGAAAACATGGTGACTGTACATACAACAGATATTTAACTACTTACATTTTTAATTTGCTTTCAAACTTGCACTTCAGTCCAGTTCAGCAAAAACATCCCTGAAATTTTGGTATTATTAGATTATTAGATTTTACTCACCTGAGTCGCTGATGGCTTCTCAGTTTTTCCCACCAATCTATTGTTTGGAACTGAATTTGGTTAAACCGAATTGGTTTTGCCACTGATTTTCATTGAATGTACACATGCAGAATAAAGTGATTTTGATTATATATCACATTTTTTAGCTTAAGTTTCCAGTTGAATGGCATGTGACAGATGAGTAGTTTGTGCACCATTGGAATGTTCAAAATCTGATGTTTTTGTTTGTGACGAGGTAAATTGTGTCATTTTGCCAATTTTGTACAACAATATGGCTTTTAAACTTGCCGGCATATTTTGTCAACAATATTTCAAGAGACCCATAAAATATGAGACAAGACCACCCCCTAGTTTCTCCAGATCGATATAAGATGTCTCTGAATGAGCTGTTCAGGTTTGCAGCCTGTTGTGATGTCACAGCAGGATAAACTCTGCCCCTGCCTGGCTCCTCCTCTTGCCCTGTACCACTCACTGAACAGAGTCAGATACAGAGAGACAAGTGCCTGTGGTTCTGCTCTTGAAAGGGGTATCAGTACAGCCACCCAGCTGGATTAAAACTGCAGACACTCACCGCCTGTTTGGAGCCCACTGTGGGGTTATGACCAGGAGTATTTTAGGCTTGGTAGGAATAAAGATCTGCGCAGCATTTTGAGCTGGAACTTGAGATACACATTCTCAGAACATATGAAACTTACACTGACTTGTTAAAAACTAGTTTAACATGCAGCTTTAAAATATTTTCTCTATTTCTTGAAATGGTTAAAATGCCTGGTTATAATCTTTTGTCAATATATGATGACTTTAAATAGTAATGTATGTCACAGTTTATTATGTTGAATAATGTAAATTTTTTTAAATACAGTATATCACAAAAGTTTTCTGCAAATATTTTATTGTATCTTTTCATGGGACAACACTGAAGAAATGACACATTGCTGCCTTTACAATGTGAAATAATCAGTGTACAGCTTATATAACAGTGTAAATGTACTGTCCCCTCAAAATAACTCAACACACAGCCGTTAATGTCTAAACCACGACTCACCTTTGTGATATACTGTATGTTTAATGCAGGGTTCAGATTTCAGTCTTTCACCAGACTAGTGGGGCCACAATTGGCCTCAGCTCAGATCAGGATCAAACTGTCAACATACATCATTTTGTACAGTGAAGTGTGTCACCATTTTAGACAAGTACAGTGATAACAAGCCAGTGAAGGTATTCTGTCGGTGGAGCTAGCTCGGGATGCAGTCGCCTCGCCATCAAATTGAGACAGACACTGATGATCGTGGTTTGCACAACTCTGATGAACTTGGAATCTGTCATCCAATCACCTGTCATACAGTCATTGTAGAAATAGTAAGTTGATTCAAAAACATGTCCCCCATACCTGCAGGATCAGCCCCGCCCCTTTTTTTTAGTTGTCTCAGCTCTTCACAAAAAAAGTTGCTCTCAGCAGCTTTGTGTGTCGGTCTCAAGACAAAACCTTTAGTTTGCAATTTTTTTCCTGCCTTTGAGGAAAAGCTCTTCTGGCAGAGAGAGTAATTACACAGATAGTGTCAACGCATGCTTATGCCATATGCCTCGCCAACCATCGCTTTCTAGTTTTGACTGTGATCCTTTTGCTGAGGTTTTTTTCTCCAGAAACTTTTTTTTGGACACTTCCACATTTCTAGTTGATATGTAATGCATCTTTATCACTTCACTGTCTATATTATATATTATAACTTTGGTATAGTACAAAACATACGATTCACCTTACAGGGTTAAACAGGATCCAGTGGACCTGTTAGGCTTTAGTGTAGCGAATGTCCATTTACAGTTGAAACCAGAAGTTTACATACACTGTATAAAAAGACATATAACCTTTTTTTTCTTACTGTCTGACATTAAATCAGACTAAACTTTTCCTGTTTTTATTCAGTTAGGACTACCAAAATAATTTCTATTTACTAAATGCCAGAATAATGAGAGAGAGACTTTTTTTTTAGAGATTTTTTAAAATTACCTTCTTCAAAGTCAGAAGTTTACATACACTAAGATTACGATATCTTTGGACTATTTGGGAAAGCCCAAATGATGATGTCATGGCTTTGGAAGCTTTTGATTGGTTAACTGACAACATTTGAGTTAATTGGAGGCAAACCTGTGGATGTATTTTAAGGCACACCTCAAACACACTGCTTCCTTTTGTGACAACGTAGAAAAATCTAAAGAAATCAGCCAAGATATCAGGAAGAGAATTCTGGA